CATTAATAATTCATGAGAAAAACACAAAGTAAAATCATAAGCCTGTCGTACAAATTAAACAACGTTTAAAATTAAACAACGTTTAATTTTAAAATTACTTCGCCAATGAATTCATAAGATGAGTCGTTTTTTAGGTTGTTTACAACATTTGCGTCCGTGTTGTATTGGATTATATCCGATACAACACGGCATCTCATGTTGTAAACATTACTTACTGTTGTTGTGTAGTATTAAATCAATGCATAAATTTTGCTTTATGCACTCGCGTGTGCAGTAATTTTGACATTTGTGCTATTTTAAATTCCCAGGCGCCTAAAATCTTTTTTCTTTAAAACAATGTCGATTTCTTGGGAAATTCCAAGGTTTCGTTTTTTTTATATACACCCTGTAGATTTATAATTGTTAGTTGTACAGGGTGTCTCAAAAAAACCCAAAATCATTGAAATAACGTATTGTTCGAATTTCAATGCCGTAACACAAAGGATTTTGACAGGGTGATTAATTTGTTTTAAAAAATTAAAATATCTTTGTAAAGTGAACGTTTGTTTGCTCATGGGAATTTAAAAATGCTTCGTAAATTGTAATATGCGTAATATGCATTCGTGGGTTTAGTACTTTATGCCTGACATAACAAGTTTACGCTGAGTATTACCATTCATTATAGCAGTTATGTCAATCTTTTATGCACTCGTGGGATTAACTTAGTGCTAGGGCATTGAATATCGAACAATACGTCAATTTCAATGATTTTGGTTTTTTTTGAGACACCCTGTATAAAAAAGAGACCTTTGGAAATCAACCATGCATATTTATTGTTATAATTTGAATGCCTTTTCAATTGCACATGTGCACATGTGTGAAATAATTGATAACATATATATATATATATATATATATATATATATATATATATATATATATATATATATGTGTATATATATATATACAGTATAAGAAAAGGGAGACTTTTAGAAATTGGAATAACCTTTTATGCAAAATTTTCTGCTCCTGCGGATTTGAAAATAACTTTTAATAACATAAAGAAAAATAACGACACGAAAATGGTGAAATTACTAATTAGCACCATCGATCACCACAAAAATAGCACCAGAAAAATGATTCAACTCGGGCGCGTAGGAAGCATCTAATGATTGGGGAGGAGGGGAGGGGAGCACCGGCTTCAAGGGGCACTTTAGGATATATATTGAAAAGGGCACCTAAAAGTTTTTTCCCGGAAATGTTGGCGACGGAAGGGAAGAGAACCAAAATTGCACGTTTTTGACCATATTTTTTTAAAAAACATGGGAATTTCCAAACAAAAAAGGCACCTCTGATGTTAATTTAGTATTTACAGCAACATTAGCTTGTACAAAAAGGGCACTTTTCATCACAAAAAAGAGCACTTTTCGTCCTTTGAAAAAATTGGGGGGGGGGGCATGTGCCCCCCGTGCCCCACGGTTCCTACGCCCCTGGTTCAACTGACCACAGAGCAACGAGTTTTTATAGTCTTAACTTATATCCAGACTCAAAGTACAATTAATTCATATTTTGAACATGTAGGGAAAATCTTTTAACTTAAAACACACTCGTGACTAAGCAAATTGCTCCACGCGTTCAAATTATAACAATGGTTGCATGATTTCTAAAAGATCTTCTTTTTTTATAAACGCTGTGGATAAGTAATTGTCTGACTCCAGCTTGTACCATTGTATCGTGCGCATTCAAACAAATTCGCTGGGGAATGCCAAACTCTAATATTAATATACTACTAACCCGAGTGAGAAATGAGGAAATTACGTCTGGGTTCGCAGATTAAGTAGTGCATTACGCATCAAATACTTCAGCGTTGTGTCTTTCCGTTGTAATATACAATACAATAATTCTAAATGAGCTCCGTTTTGTGATTAATCATAATAAAACTGATACAATGATACAAATATATATCAATATGCGTGCCAGCGCAACACAATAGCGCATTCATGATTTACACTTTGATAACATAGCACGTACACAATATCTTATTTTGATTTTACCACTATATGACGATTTCAAAATTATGTATAAATTCACAAATTGTAAGAGTTGGGATGCAATTCAACAATGGGACACGGCCATTGCCAAATTTGCGTAGGCAGATTTTATCGCATTTATAGAATGTGTTGAAAATATTGTCTTATTACTATAGCTGTAACTGTTTGCTTACAAAAATTTAGTCGAGTATATAAAAGCAACGGAGTGCATGGGGTTACCAATATTTTAAATATTTATTCAAACATCTGTACTTATCGACTTTGTTTACACATTTTCGATAAAATGAAATCGGCAACTTTCATTGTATTTTTAGGTGTTACAATAAATGTGTCAATCATCATCGTTAATTATTACAAAATGCAAAGTGGGCGGAAGGCGATTTTGACAACATTTTCATCAGACCTACGTTTTGCCCTTTCCCTCGGCAAATTTTAGGGCGGGCGAAACGTAGGTCTGTTTTCAGGCTACTTCTAGTGTTATTTATAATCTTTATGATTAGAATATTTAGCTGACCTTCAACTTTCTGCAAGGTGTTTTCGTATTCAAATTGCACTAATGTCTTTTCCTACCTCCTGAACAGGTGTCTTAGGGGTGCCTTACCTGCTTGTGTGATGGAAGCCGGGTTGAGGCAGCACTTTCCTGGCGATAGTAACTTCTAGTCTAATTAGTGTAGACAGCTCTTGTTTGATTGCGAAGAGTGTTGAATTTTAAATCAAAACTACGCACCTGATTGGACAATAAAATTAGAAACTCTTTTAACTGTCAGACCCGTCAAACTGAAACTTGCAGTTTCTCACACGCCGCTTGCAACGAATTGTGGTCACGAGGTACACAAATATGTCCTTCGTAATTGACAAAACTGTCACTGACAAAGCGCCAAAAAAACGGTCGTTTCGCAGTTTAATGGGAACAATAGTAAAGGCCCTAAAATATCTCAGTGACCAAGCATTACCGACGCGTTCTCTTTGGCACATAATTTGCAAACATTTACAACTGCAGTTTTTTATGTTATCAAAATACAAAAACATATTCTATAGATTCATAAAGGACGACCTGATATAAATTTGGCGACTATAGATTTTATTTACTGCTAGCCACTTTTATTGAATTATAGAATTAAAATGTCAGCCTTGCAAACGACGTTGAAGCTTGCTGCATGCATATAACATGTTGCATGTATAAACTTGTTGTGCGTGTTAGTCATGGTGGTGTGTACGTTTCAGCTCTGTGATCTATACAGGGTATCCCCCAAAAAACGAAAACTATTGAAATAAATGTATTGTTAGAATTTGAATGCCTCAGCACTCTGCTGAACCCAGCATCAAAGCCTGACGTAAGTAAATTTTATGGTAAGAAGCTGTTTGAAATTCACAAGAGCAGAAAATCGTGCGCTTTACTATAATATTTTAATTTCTTAATAAGTCAGTATTTAATATATGCACCCTTGTCAATATTTTACTCATCTTTGCGTGCAGCTTAGTGCTAGGGCGTTCAAATTTTAACAATACGATATTGCGTTTTTTTTAGACAACCTGTATATATCGTCAATCCACAACTGTCTCATGCATCATATATAAATGATTTTTATTGTTTCATTTCCAGGTGATCTCGTGTTCATATTTTAGCCAATCAGCGCTCAGAAAGGGTTGTCCGAATAGAAATCCATTTTGATGTATTCAGTCAATTATATCTTTCGTTATTCTTTATGAAACTAGTTGAAATTTTGTGATTATTTTGGTTATGAGAACTATATATAGCTCTAACAAAAATATGGAATCAAAATAAAGTATATTACAGGAGATATTCAGTTGTTTTCATCATAAAATGGATTTCTATTTGACAACTAGTGCCAGTACTTTTCCGCGTATCAAGATCACCTGGTTATAATACCAATATCATACATAAAGATATTACTCGTCTGTGATTGGTTGATTTCAGTGCAGTTAATCCCAAACAGCAGTTCAAATGTGAATCACTGGAAATGTGATTTATCCGGTAGTATTTTACAACTAAAATGGCACTTCTGCCCCCTTGCCCCCCCCCCTTGCAGAAGGCAAGAGGGGCAGCTGCCCCTCCTGCCCCCCCCCCCCAATTCCGGCGTCCTTGGCATTAGGATTAGGATATATGTCGACGTTCTCTTTTTTACAATACAATTTAATCAATATATATATATATATATATATATATATATATATATATATATATATATATATATATATATATATATATATATATATATATATATATATAATAATAATATATATATATATATATATATATAATAATAATAATAATAATATTTCAATTATATAGTGTAAAAAGAGTGCTCAACATCAATTTTAAGTGACTCAATTTTAAGTTAAAATACTATATATATATATATATATATATATATATATATATATATATATATATATATATATATATATATATATATATATATATATATATATATATATAGGGGCAACAAATTCAATGATAATGTTCTTCGTTGGAGTTGCGGTAACACTAGCCATTGTGCTTATTGTCTTATTTGTAATTCAAATAATATACAAAAGACAACGCCCCATCTCAACGTTATCGACCCGTGGTCTTGCGGTAGACACAGTTGAAATGCAAAATAAGACTTCATCAGAGGCAACGCAGAATAATCAGGTAAAGTTTTCTGCAGGCAGCTTGCTAGCTCACAATTAGTGGCTAGCTCGAAAGAAAAACAGGATAGCGCTCTTGGGCTTTCCACGCATTATCAATTTAAAATAACCTAACCTTATATATACTACATAGCTCTGTCAGTTCTAAATTGCTTTCCCTAGGGGTTCAGTGAGGATCATCTCTTATTGATTTAGTGTTAATACAAGAGAAAACTAAAAATAATATAATCCAACCTTTTCTATACTGAATTGCTCTATATCATCAGTATCATGGAGGGGCGACGGGGTGGATGTGGTGGTGGGGATGGGGTGGAGGGGATGGCGATGGATTTAGTTGCACTAAAATTAAATCTAGATTTAAAGGATTCGCCGACAAATCTTCATTTTCAGTCAACTGGTTTTGATGAGGGGGTGCAGCGTGTTAGACCCCCAATGCTATGCCCCGTCTCTTTACCCCGTCTCTATACCGAACCAAGTCAGCGTAATTTATTTGTTTACACAGTACCTAGATTGTAGTCCAGTAGATGGTGGAACAGAACCGATCGAAGAAGTCCAAATCTCGCCACGTTCTGTTTATGTTGAGCTTGACAGGAACCGACAAGACGAAACCGCAAATGATGGTGCCTACCAAAAATTGTTAAAACGCCACTTAACTGGTTATGAAATACCTGCTCGTACTGAAGTAGAGTCATCATACGAAGAAGTTTACCATTCATATCAAAAAGAACCTAGCTAGTACAAGCACTTGCTTGAAGTAAAATATATAATAATAACATATACAGACGTATACCATTTCTTTTGAAATTGTTTGATGAAATGTCTTTAGGAAGTGAAAAAAACTGAAGATATACTATTGAAACTCAAAGTGTTTCTGTGAAGTTACAATTTTACATCGTTCTAGAATCTGCCCAAAAAGCTAGTTATAATAGCCTGCTAACTGACTAAATTACATGAAGTTTAAGATATTTTAACACAATATACATTTAACTGTGGCAACAGCATATAATTAGAGAAACCATTATATAGCAGAAGATTACAAGATCTAACTTCGCATCTATTTAATTCATTGCCCAACAATGTGAGATGCTGCCCAGATTTACTTACTACTTTTTGCAAAGAAACTAGAAACAGAATTTACACTAAGGCAATACAACGTCTTAATCAGATTATATTCTAAATGTACATTGTAGCTGTAGTATATGTACATAAATATGTAAAATAAGTTTGTCTACACTTTTAACTATTCCACTTGCGGGAATGGGCTATTAATTAATGTAGTTACAATAATCAGCAATGCAAAATTTGTACATCCCATGCCAGAGAGTTCAATACGTACTTTAACGATTTGAAGTCATATCGTAGTACCCAAAATAAAAGAACAACAATTGGTGCAAAGTATTTTAAAACGGTTCAATCATTTATACAAGTATACCTCAAAACATGATATACCTTGTTCGTTCTGTAACTGCTGTTCTTAGTTTAATCTTAGTTTAACTGAAATTAGATCCTGAGTTTAGTAGTAAAGTGTCAGATAAAGAAAAGTCTCACAATGCATGCTCTAATCTCAATAATGTTGGATTTATCATTGGCGGCTATGCGTACGGGAGGAAATTTTTATTCGAGAGCAGAAAAAGATTTGCACGACCAAGATGTAGGTGGCCAGACATATAATTGTGGATTTATTGATAGACGAATAGAGGGTCAATAAAATGAAGACATTCCCTGTACAGACGCGAGGTACACTGCATGAAAAGCGACGTATTCCGAGTTATTCATGCACATGTCTGTACGGGTTAGAAGAAAACGCATATTGCATAAGTATTCTGGCGTGGAATATTAGTGAATTGCAAAGGATTCCAAGCGTAATATGCTGTGAATATGACACATATACCACCCAGTGCTGTAAGTAACTTCATTAAAAGTAACTAGTTACAAGTAATCGTTACATTTTTCAGTAACGGTAACTCGTTACATTTTGAGAACATGTAGCTGTAGTGGTAACTACAGGTAGTTACAAATAATGCCATAAAATTGAAACGATTACAAGTTATTTTGCCAAAGTTGCAAGTTCCATTTTGTTCGTTGCTTTTTGTGCACGCGTACGTTTTTCAGTAAAATGAAATGAATCAAGACACAGCCAGGCAAGATCTTAAAGTGTCCCTGTCACAAAATGAGAGTTTATATTTTCGAAATCTATGATACAAAATATACGGAAATTCGAAAACGGAATTGAAATTGCTTTTTTAGTGTAAAAGTTATTGCCGTTTAAACATTGAATTTGGCCTTGTGAAAAATCTGAAAACCGCGCAAAAGGGACTGGGACGAAACAATGCGTGTGACGTAATAGTAGGAACTTATGTAGCTCACTAATATAGAAATACTATTGCATGTACTATCATAGAGGAGGCAATAGCGCAAATAAAAGTCACGAAACTGAAAAATTGCCGAATATATGTGTAGTAGGTGGTTGTTCTAATGTCACAGATACAGAGTAAGGCATTTCACTTCATTTTATACCTTTTACTGGAGGCGAGATGCACGAAGCGAAAAGGACAGAGATTGACTTCGTGCACCTTAAATCAGCAATATGAGATCCAATGTTCAGCATACTTTGCGAAGATATAGCTTGCTGGTAAAACCACGATTAGCTACCGACGAAATTGGTTTCGTTGCAATTCCAAAATATACAAATACTGTCGACGACAAACCTTTGTCTGCGAGAGCCAAGAGAATGGTATATGTATAATTTATACTCTAATTTCGTTTATCATGCACTTGAATATGGCCTAGTGCAATTTTTATTCCAAATTCGTTATTTGAATAGGTTGTATTTAGAAGCTGCTTCGATGCAGTCAACCGATATGGTCATAGTCACGAAACTGGAAAGCGCGATAAATATAAATGAGCCACAGCCAATGGATTCACCAGAAATATAAAATATCGCGACAATATAGCTATGACTATGAGTGAATATGGTCAAAATATAGCTGATGAAAGCCAATTTCTTACGTCTACAAGCAATGTGCACTGTTTGTATTTTAGTTTAGACAGGGAAAGTAGAATTGTACGTATAAGTAAACTTGACGCAGTAAATTATACATATATACACTCGTTGTGTTTGCACCGCAGTGAAAACCCGTACAATATGCAGATTTTGTAACAAATTGTGGCATGAAACCAGATACACTGCGGGGGTGTATATAAAATGTATTACAAAGTATAATCCATTGAAGCAACTTAATGAAATAACTTAGTCATTGCCACATTTGCTATAGTATAAGGCAGTGCCTGGAACGAAATACAAGTCAGAAAAATTCCTAAACGTGCTGCAACACTTTGTACAAATTAACCCGCGCGCACGAAGTGCAGAAAAACATCAGATACAAATCTTAATCTCAAATTTCAGTCTCTTTGGCAAAACAATATTGAAGTCATGAATATAGCAAATGTGCTGTTTCTATACGCAATACAGTATAATATTACCACATTTATACAGTGTAATAGGTTTATTTATTGAAAAATAGTTATATAATATCAAGAGCTGTTCTCTACAAATCCTACAAAGTCTTCATCAACAGCAGGCATTATTTTCTCATATGCGCAAAAATGTCTATTTCCTAGTGTCCATAAACCATCCACACAAAGTTTCTATATGCTGTGCTCCTTCAGAATCTATAAATTAATAAATAAGTATTTTTAATAAGTCGCTTACTTGCATGTGAACACATGTAAATATATAATACTTCAATAATTGTACAGTATGTTTCGTATATAAACTCTCAGTTACCGTACCGCTTGCGTGTGTTCACTGATAGTAAACTCGGGTACGGTAAAGTGTTTCTTAATTTCAATATGTTGATAAATAAACTTTATTTACCTATCTTCTGTGCTTGTTTGACGGTATTCCTGTTTCTTTCTTGCTCGTAATTTCGTGGCTGCTGAATGGAGAGCTCACGTATCTAGCCATAGCTGTTGAATTATACATGATGGCACGACTTCAGCTTCTTGCATCACAAGTCACAATGTCATTGTGTAGAGAATCGACGCACTCCTCAATTTCCATACAACATTGACACTCTTTAGCATAATTTACGAAGCAGTTCAATGCGACAATTGCCGCGTTTACACATGAACTATTATAGTTTGTAATTTACAGCACAAGGTCAAGTCACGCAACAAAATCAGAGTGAAATATTTACCATTTACTCAATTCTTCTGAACTATCAAGCCTTTGTTGTAATTGCTTAAGACGTTCGTTGTGATTGCTTTTTTTCGCGGTAACGTTTGAGCCATCTTCGTTGGTTACTGCATGGTTCATTAACATATGGATCAAGCAGCGCCGATCATTTGTGCGCACGACGTTGACCACGCTTCACTGGTGTTTTCATCGATTTCACTCGATTTGATACGGCCCAGGAATATAATTTCAGGCAGTCATCGCTTTGGTATCTGTTATTTTCCGTATCTGAACTCCACGAAGACATTTGTATCGAATTTTGACCAGCTTGATTGTGATTCTCAC